ACACAACACACACACACAAAAAAAACCAGCAACACACAAACCCAAAAGTTTCCCCCAAAATCAGGTTTAAGCATTACTAAAAAGACCCAATTGATTTGCAGGAGAGAACAAGATAATCGTACACAAACTAAAACAATGACGTTAAATCAGTTAAATCAGAGGAGCAAAACTCAGATGCCAAAAAATAAGAGGAAATAAAAAAAAAAAGACTCACCAAATCAAATGTAAGGAACAGAGGTGTAAAACGCAGTATAATATTGCGCTATATTAAAACGCAGTATTATACTGCATTTTAGGTAGAAAAGTAACTTTTTTTTTAAAACTGTAGAAACTTATTTTGAGTCCAAAAAGTTACAGGTTTCAGACTCGGCATACAAGTATCCATGATCATAAGATATTTATCTATATAGTATTGCCGCCTCGATCACCGAATATGCAGGGAGTGCTTGAAAATCTCCAAATTCTACTTGAACTCTAAGTAGCCAATCGACGTTGTACTATTAACTGAATCCATCTAGGAGACCAATTGTATAATCTAACTCCCACATCGTTAATATACTCTTGCAAGCAGCCTCTGACATATATATATATATATATATATATATATATATATATATGACTGCATGCTGCAATCGTGAATATCAATTCGTAATATTTGCAAGCCATTTGAGTCTATTTTTGTAGACTCGGAAGCATTAACGCGAAGGTAATTTCTTCTTCTTTTCTTGTGCTTTCTTCTTCATTTTTTTTACTCTGTTGTCTCTTTTTTTTAGAAGTAACTTCATCAAACTATGAAGTACTTTAAAAGTTCGAGACGAAGACCTTTAAAAATTCGCAACGAATACCTTTAAAATTTGCGGGGAAGACCTATAAAAGTTCGCGCGAAGATCCTTAAAAGCTCGTGGTCAAGATATTTAAAAGTTCACAACGAATACCTTTAAATTTGTGGGGAAGACCCATAAAAGTCGCGCGAAGATCCTTAAAAGCTCGTGGTCAAGATCTTTAAAACTTCATAGTGAAGACCTTTAAAAGTTCGTGGTGAAGACCTTTAAAAGTTCGCGACGAATACCTTTCAAATTTGCGAGGAAAACTCATAAAAATTCACGATGAAGACCTTATAAGCTCGTGGTCAATATCTTTAAAAGTTCACAGTGAAGACCTTTAAAAGTTCACAGTGACGACCTTTAAAAGTTCAAGACAAGCACCTTTAAAAGTTCGAAACATACGCCTTTTAAAAGTTCGGAACGAAAACCTTTAAAATTTTGAATGCCTTTAAAAAGTTCGAGACGAACACCTTTAAAAGTTCGCAACGAAAACCTTTAAAACTTCAAATGCCTTTAAAAGTTCGAGACAGACACCTTTAAAAGTTCGCAACGAAAAACTTAAAAAAAAGCACCTTCAAAATTGTCCCAGGCTACATTTTAAAACCAACTTTATATTGCACCACGCTGGCAATTTCAGATTTGCGTAGTCTCATCAAAATATTCGTATCTTGGTGTAGAAACGTCAAAATTACGAACCGTTTGATTTCTTGGAAACTAGCCCTCAAAATATAAAACAAGTCCAAAATGTAGGATTTAATATCTTAAGGATAGTTTCATATAATATTTCGAAGTCATCATAAAATTACGACACACTGACGATTTCAAACTTGCGCGACTTCACCAAAACTCTTGTATTTAGGAACGTTGAAATCATTTCCGACAGTTCCGAATTGGCACGACTTTGCCAAAACTTTTATGTTTTGGTATGGAAGCCTCGGAATCACAAGACGTTTTTCTTGCTATCAATCAAAATTCAAGATCTCCACTCTCACCAAATATCTGGGTTCAAGTCTCACTGAATTTGAAACGTTGTGCCCCAGGAATCTTTCTTCTTATATTTGTATTCCCTTTTGACGCCTCTCTTCTCTTCCCTTTTTAGGGCAGTGAGAAGATATGAAGACCAACAAACTTGAAGGTTATGCGAACATGAATACATAGCGAATCCCCAGACTTTGATGCAAATATTGTCATCATTTCAGTGAAGACACCATTTTACCATAGCAGCTTGCCCCCTTTAAATCAAATGGGATTCAAAGCTTAACAAAAGAATGGTATCTCAGCTCGATTTTCAAGTGTTGATTGAATGGATTACATTCCATTGTACTTTATTCGAACGATGATTGGGGCACTATGAACTCATGCAACTGAACTCAGAATGAAATTCTAAGCTGCCTACGTACCTCGGTGAAGAGGATCAAGTCATCCTGTAGTTCAGAATGGGTGATTTTATTATTATTATTATTATTATTATTATTATTATTATTATTATTATTATTATTATTATTATTATTATTATTATTATTATGTCCTAACTTTTGCCTAGGTGGCCTCTTTTGAGGTTTTCAACCTAGCAGACTTTTTATTTTTATTTTTTATATGTCCTAACTTTTTCCTAGGCCGCCTCTTTCGAGATTTTCAACTTAGAGGACTTTTTTTATTTTATTTTTGTGGGTCGTACACAGTTTAGACTCATGCGGGCCAGGAGTGTAGGAACGTGCAGTTTGGGCTCATGCATCAAGGAGCGTTGTAACTTCAAGGATAATACTTCTTCAAAAACATGCCATTGATAGGGCCGATTCTCATGCCATCTGCATCAAGCAGCTTGTAAGCCCCACTTGAGTAAGCTTCTTGTACGACATATGGCCCATCTCATTTTGAAGTGAACTTCCCTACAGGTTTATGAAAAGTAATTATGGGTGTTTCGTACGGCAATGACTTGATCTCCTACTTGAAAGGATCTCGGGCGAACTCTTTTATTGAAGGCACGAGATAATTGAGCTTGATAACATTCAAGACTCTGTTGAGCTTCCAATCTCTTCTCATCAAGAGCCTCCAACTCTGCTAATCGAAGTCGAGCATTTTCTTCATCGGTGATCCCTTCTTGGATAGCTAATCGTAATGAAGGTATTTGGCGCTCGAGTGGTAAGATGGCTTCGACTCCATAAACGAGTGCATAAGGGGTCGCTTGTGTTGGCGTGCGGTGAGTTGTCCTATATGCCCATAGAGCTTCTTTCATACGGTCATGCCAATCTCGTTTAATTAAAAGAAAGGAATATTATTTTGGGGAAATTTCACATAAGAACAACTGAGCTCCTTGCTTTTCAATTTTATAGCCCATATTTCAATTTACATCCAACTAGCCTAAAAATAATAGGCTAAGATTCAACATCCAACTCCAATAGGTTCTAGAAATTACTATTCAATTTTTAAAAAAAATTGCTCAAGCTTTTAAGTTAACTTTTGAATCAGTAACTGTGACTCAAATATTAGTTCACCAAACCAATTGGATGGTGAAAATTAAATTTTTAACAAGCTTAAACATGTGGGTTTAAATTTCGAATTTGATTTTGTGAGAAATTTTGAGTTGGTGTTATTTAGACTTGTTAGAAATAGTATAAGGGGGTTGTATATAAAATTTGAAGTCATTTAATGGAGATTTGGACTGGTTTTGGACAAAAATTGAAACTGAAAATCGTGGAAGAAGTTCGTCTACAGACGCTTGTATAAAGGTGTATAAAAGTGTATAATAGTGTATAAGATGTGTTTATACACTCATATACACTATTATACAAGATTACATACAAAAAACTGACTTCGTCTTTTTCCTTGCGTCTTTTCTAAAATTTAACTCAAATCTTGCTCAAATCTACTCCAAATGACTTCAAATTCAAATTTTGAACTCCTTTTGATATTTTCAATCAATTGGAACAGTACCCAATCCAAACAACTAACAAACTCATAAATCCTATTTTTGAAATCAAAGCTTTGAATGGCCTTCAATGGTGGACTTCTACTCTTCAATTTTCTTATATTGCAACCAGGTGACACAGGATAAGAAGCAGCAATGGCGGACAACCCCTTGAAGCATATGTAGAAGATGTAAGAAGAAGAGAGAGTGAAAGCAATGGTCGTGAGAACACATATTTAACTTCATAGCTTTTAGAAGCAGTGGTTGTAAGAACACAAGTTTTGAATTTGCTAGTGCTTTCAAAATATGTACAATATGGGCTAGGTTGGGTAAATCTTAAAAACATAGGCCATTTTTTGTTATGGTGTGAAGTCATGTGTATTTTCTTGTAATTTTTTCTATTTTTTTCCTTAGCCTAATATATTTTATTACCATATTTCCATTAGTTTCTTGCAGTTTTTAATTATTTAATTAAGAGGGTGTTTGGCTAAGCTTATAAGCTGGTCAAACTGGCTTATAAGCACTTTTTAGCTTATCTACGCGTTTAGTAAAATTAAAAGTGCTTATAAGCCAAAAATAAGCCGAAAGCCATAAATTGGTCTCCCCCAACTTATCAAATTTCAGCTTATAAGCAGTTTAAGTTTGACCAAAATATTTACTATTCTATCCCTAAAATACTTCTTTTTAAAACAAAACTCTTCGTATACCCAGTTCTTTAGCTGCATATTATTAATTTCAGCACTTTTATCCAAACACGTAACTGCTTATTTTTTAAATCAGTTTTAGCACTTAAAAGTGCCAGCTACTCTAAATCAGCTAAGCCAAACGGGCTCTAAGATCTAGTTAGGAAAAATGTGGACTTTAAAATTACCGTTCTGATTTTTGTTTTAAAACAGTCAAGTGGGATTCATGAGTCCAATTGTCAAGCAATGCCCCCGGGGCCACACACAGGCAAGTAATATTGGTTATATGATCATGCATTTTACTTACTTAGTGAATCAATGGTCAACCTGGCACAAAATTAGATTAATTTAACTAATGACTTTAAAATACGGAATACCTAGAAACTGAAGCACACTTAAAAAATGAGCAACTGAAATGTACATACCAAATGGAGAAACGCATCACTTATGTCAAAGGCTCCTACACGCAGAGGGCATTTTCCACTTCCCTTCGTACAGTGAAGTTTTTGTCAGCAGCCCACATTTTGCCACCAGATTCCATTTCCCTTAATTACCCATTAATTCAAACATTAAACTTAACGCGTAAGGCATAGCCAAAGCCACCCTCATTATTAACATATATTAATACCAAAAATGTTATGTTAATACAATCAAAAGTACTTGACAATAAGGCTTTCACATTCTCCTTGTGCCACGCTACTCACTAGCGGTGACGAAGCCACATGGTTATAAGGGTCGTCGAAAAATTATACTGTGTATATAGATAAATATTATATTTTAGAGGTACATAACATACTATTGAACACCCTTTGTCGGGATCATTTTTTCCCTTCTTTTAAATTTGAATATCCTTGGGCAAATTACTAGCTTCGCCACTGCTCAATAGCACAAGCCGTCAGTGTCCCCATGATCCTATCTCATTACCTCCTCATTAGAACTTTCCTATTTGTTCATTAGTCACAATTAGTACCAATATAATCTCATCAATAAGTCCAAATTAAACATCTCATAGTTTAATTAATAATCCTTGTCAAACCACTAATCTGGTCATAACTTTTTGCCAAGTATTGAGTTGGACAGGAAGATGAAGGTATTTAAAGGGAAAGGCATCTCCTCAAATTTCCCTTTCTTTACAAACAAGACACTGTTTTGCTTTCTTTGCTCTTACCCAAAAAAACCAAAATCTTCCCCTAATATTCTAACACTAAAATGCGTCCATATCAATTTCCTATACCATTCATTTCCCTTTTTCTATTCTTATTTTTTCTACCTTCATTTCCCATTCTTGGATCCACCTCTGAACTGACAAATTTTGTTTACAAAGGCTGTGCTAACCAAAAATTCCAAGACTCAACTGGGGTTTACACCCAAACACTCAACACCCTTTTTGACAACTTAGTTTCTCAATCCTCCTCCACTAATTTCCACAAAACCACCGCCGGCGGTGGCCAGTCAGCAATTTCCGGTCTCTTTCAATGCAGAGGCGATCTCTCTAACACCGACTGCAACACTTGCATTCAAAAAATCCCAGATATGTCCCAAAAACTGTGCGGGCAATCAATTGCTGCAAGAATCCAACTCAATGGTTGTTATTTAAGGTACGAAATTGCTGGGTTTCAGACAGTGAGTCCGACCGAGTTGCTGTACAAGGTGTGCGCGTCAACTCGAGCGAGTGGAGATGGATTTCTTGACAGGCTGGAGACAGCACTAGGAGAGATAGCTAAAGGAGTTTCTTCAAGCGGTAATAAGGGATTTTATACAGGTGGTTATCAGTCGGTTTATGTGTTGGGTCAATGTGAAGGTGATTTAGAAAGTGGGGACTGTGTGAACTGTGTGAAAAATGCTGCTATGGAAGCCAAAAGCCAATGTGCTTCTTCCATTTCTGCTCAAATTTATCTGCAACAGTGCTACATTCGTTACACTTATTATCCCAGTGGTGTTCCTACTAAAACATTTTCTCCATCAGGTGGTAAGTAATATTTATCTACTTGCATTATTTTTCTTAATTATTTAAAGGGGTCTCTTAATCATTATTTAATTAATTAATCTAATGTTTGTACTGGATTTATTGGGGTGCAGGAATAAGGAAGAGTACACAGAAGACGGTGGCTATTGTGTTGGGTGGACTGGTTGGTGTGGGGTTAGTACTTGCTTGTTTGCTATTTACAAAATCAGCATTCAAGAAGAAGAGTTATGTCAAATATGGAGGATGAGGTTAGTATTCCACTAGAAACAAGAATAAAAAATTTTGGTTTACATCTTTATACAAAAAATTAGTACTAGTAAGATTCTTTTAATAGGCATTTGGACATAAAAATTATAATTTTTCTTAAAAAAAAGTATTTGGAGTTAAGTTAAAAAATAATATTTAGAATTTGAAATGATGTTTGACATGCATTTCACTTGAGAAAATGTTGCAGTTTTGTGAGCGAGGGAAAAAAAATTCTTTTTCGAAATATTTCTAAACACTAGAAAAAATTCATGCCAAATACATATTTGATTTTTTTTTGGTTGAAAAAACGGAAAATTTTGTATGGACAAGCGGGGCCTTAATATCCATGTTCGATATGTTTCTGCCAATATGAGATCATGATAGACTGACAATCGATGTGAAACTAGTCGATTTATGATTTTTGTTAAATATATAGTGTAATAAAGAATGCATTTATTCTGACAACAATAAATTATTCAATGCAGGTAGGTCCAAGAGCTGAGAAGTTTGGTAAAAATTTGGGATTTGGACCACATATGGAATGTAATTACATAGTGTAAATTTAGGTTTGATGATTTGGATTATGTAAGAAGAAAGGAGGTATGATGATGAAGGAGAAGAAGATCTGATTTTGCACTTTGTTTTGACTCCAGCTTCTAGGATTTTTCTTCTCCTCCATGTTTTGCTCATTCTACTTTTTGTTTTCTTTTTCCCCTTTGAATTACAAGTAGCAATAGTAGCGTTATCAATTAGGTAAGCAGTTAAGTATGACTATTTTCTTTCTTTTTTTTCCCTTTCCTGAACATCATATGAATGTACATCCCCACGCACGAATTACTACTACAACAACGACAAACCCAGTATAGTCTCATAGGTGGAGTTTAGAGGGTAGTGTGTATGCAGACCTTACCCCTACCTGGAGAGGTAGAGAGGACGTTTCCTATAGACCACCGGCTCAAGAAAAGGTGGAAAGAAAAAAGGGAAGAAGAAGAAGAAAGAGGAGGAAGAAAGAAAGACGAGGGAGACAAAAGACAATACGAAAAAAGGGGAGAAAAAGTAGCATCAAATAGTAACAATTAGGGAGCAACAATTTCCAATAAAAGGGGAAACAATCAGGGAACAACAATTCCAGTAATAAATTTTCAAAAACAATGGGTTGGTAGTTAAGTACCAGATATACCAACAAACTAGAAGAAAGTACCTTTCAACCAACAACAAGAATATTACTAGTACTATTGTAGACCTAGGAGAAAGTCACAACTACCTGTCAACCCACTATATTAATCCTTGGCCTGTACATCTTCCTATCGCTAGTCATGTCCTCGGTTAGGTGAAACACCGACATGTCCTGCCTGATCACCTCTCTCCAATATTTCTTTGGCCTACCCCTGCCTTTACTCAAGCCCGCCATGGTCAACCTCTCACACCTCCTGACCGGGCATTTATGTCTATCCTCCTCACATGCCCAAACTATCCCAGCCACGATTTTCGCAACTTGTCTTCCATGGATGCCACTCCCACCTTGTCCCTAATAACTTCATTCTTAATCTTGTCTTTCCTAGTATGTCTACACATCCATCTCAACATCCTTATTTCAGCTACGCTCATCTTCTTGACATGGGACTTTTAGACGGGCCAACACTCAGCTCCATACAAAATAGCTGGTCTAACCACCACCCTGTAGAATTTGCCCTTAAGTATAGGCGACACATTCTTATCGCATAAAACCGTCGGAGCTAGCCTTCATCTCATCCAACCTGCTCCAATGCGGTGAGTAACATTCTCGTCAATCTCCCCGTCGCCTTGGATTATAGACCCAAGATACTTGAAACTATCTCTTTTGTGAATGACTTGAGTATCAATCTTTACTTCCACTTCTTCTTCATGCCTCTCATCACTGAACTTACACTCCAAGTATTCAGTTTTCGACATACTCAACTCGAAACCTTTGGACTCCAGCGTGTGTCTCCAAACTTCCAACCTAGCGTTAACACCCCCTCGTATCTCGTCGATCAGTAATATGTCATCAACAAATAACATACACCATGGCATCCTCCCGGTATGTGTCCTTAATCACCCTAATGCACGCTACCGGGACTCCGCTAACCTCCAACATCTCCATAGCACCTCCCTCGGGACTTTGTCATAAACATTGTCACGGTCAATGAACACCATATGCAAGTCTTTTTTCCTCTCCCTATACTGCTCCACCAATCGTCTCACAAGGTGAATAGCTTCTGTAGTTGACCATCCCGGCATAAATTCGAACTGGTTCTTAGAGATAGATACACATGTCCTCACTCTCTTCTCTACCACCCTCTCCCAAACCTTCATAGTGTTACTCAGCGGTTTGATACCCCTATAGTTATTGCAGTTTTGGATATCACCTTTATTTTTGAGCAACGGAATCATCAAACTCCACCGCCAATCTTCGGGCATCTTCCTCGTCTTAATAATGACGTTAAACAAGCTAGTAAGCCACTTCAAGCCTACCCTACCCCGTCTCTTTCCAAAATTCCACCAGGATCTTGTTAGGCCCAGTCGCCTTACCCCTGCTCATCTTCCGTATTGCCACATCAACCTCCTCATACTTAATACGCCTACAAAACCCAAAATCTCTCCTCTGAGTTCTCCAACTCACCCAGCACGATGCTCCTATCCCCTTCCTCGTTCAAGAGTCTATGGAAGTACTCCTGCCATCTACGCCTGATACACGCCTCTTCCACCAATACCTTACCGTCTTCGTCGTTGATTCACCTCACTCGATCCAGGTTCCGAGCCTTCCTCTCCCTAATCTTGGCTAACTTGAACAACTTCCTATCCCCTCCTTTGCCCCTATGATCCTCATACAATCTTTCAAAAGCTGCAGTCTTAGCCGCTGGTGACCGCGAGCTTCACCTCTCTCCTTGCCTTCTTATAACACTCCCTATACGACGTCCGCTCTTCCTCGTCCGTGCTCCCCAATAGCTTCAAATATATCGCTTTCTTGACTTCCACTTTTCCTTGGACCTCCCCATTCCACCATCAGTCCCCTTTGTGGCTACCCGAGTAATCCTTTCGAGATCCCTAGCACCTTCCTAATAGCTTCCCTAATGCAGTTCGCGAGTACAGTTCGCTGTATGAATTATTACAATATAATGAAAAAATACGGATCAACATAGTACAGTTGCTTTTGCATCAATACCTCAATGTGACTGGCTAAAGAAAATATATAGAACTTAAAGCAGAGGAAACGTTCAAGAGGTGGAGCTTAAAATTGGTGTTATGATTACAATTATACTACTAATAGATATTCTTGAGTAAAACGTTTCAAGTTCCAATTCCATCTCTATATCTCTAACATTTCCTTTACCATAGTTTACCGATCTATCTTTTTTTTTTTTTTTTAATTTTTTTTTTATGTGCGTATTACTGATCTATCTTAGCCCAGAAATTAAGTTTTTAGAAAGAAAAAAAAATGTTTTTAAAGAGGTGCATTTCCAGATTCTTCTTCTTTTTTTTACCTCCTTAATTTTTAGTGAACAGTAAAAAGGGTACTTTCACTTCTAGGATTTCTTTTCAAAACTAAAACTAAAAATTTCTGCAGCTTCTGATTTGCACCATTTGGGATGCATAATTTCGATGTGTTTCTTTTCTGTTTTATTTTCTTAGTTTGTTATATATATCTCTCTCTTTTCTATTTGGTTCACCGGAGGGGCTCACTCCATATATACTCTAGTTGTTTTCTTACACATTTAAGTGAGGAGGTATATAATGGGCACCGCAGAGTCAAAATCAAGCAAAAGTTATATGTATGTTTCCAATATTTCATCACCATTATAATAATTCTTGACCACAAAAGTTATATCGATAAAGGCAAAGAGAGTCAGCATCAAGAGATTGCAAGAATTACACCTCGCATCATAGCCAGCTGAAAAGTTTCACAGTGGATATTCGTATATTCTAGTTCTAGTTCAAGATTTAAGAGAAGTTAGTGACGTTTGCTTTAAAATAAGCTGACAGTTTTTTGGAAGAAAATATAAAGAAATTCAACATAAAATTGAAGAGGGTTATCTGGAAAAGTATTCAGCTCTTGCTCTTTTGTGAAACAAAAGATACATATAAGCGTTTGGACAATGTTTGAGTTGAAACTAAAACAGAAATAATATTTGAAACTAAAAAATGTGAAAAAGTGGTGTTTGAACATAAAACTTTTTAAAAAAAGTTTACCAAAGTTAAAAATATGTAACATTTACTTGAAATACTCATTCAAAATATTACTTGAAGTTAAATAGCAATCTTCAAACTAACATGTGATAATTCTCGTCAAAATACTATTAATACATTAAAATTACTGACTTGGCATTCTGATCCATGACATGTTCACACGGTAAATATTAGTGGTGTATATGTCAAATCGAATATTTAATTTTATAATTAATTATTAATATAAGAATACATAGGATTAAGTGATACAATGTATATGAAAGATAATAATTTGCACTCATTTGATTACTGAAAACATAAACGTTTTTATCATGGTCACGCTCCATAAATCTATTCAATCCTCCTCTATTGAACAGCCAAATTGTTACAATCTTCTTTCAACTTCTCAAATATTTGAAATTCTATAGTTTCAAATACGCTTACAATTTTAATTTCACATGCTACTAATGTTTTAAAAAAAGAAATATCAACCCAATGTCCAAACAAATAATGCTGTGCGCGTTTAATCGGACAATGGTTTTCGAATCAAGCATGGGAAACCTTTGGCGCCTTTATCACAGTGGAAGAAAACTTCTTCACCAACGTATTTGCCAACAATTCAAACATTCTTCTCCATTCCTAAAATTACTATCAACTTCAAGATTTGACTCACAGAAAAATATAGACTATTTTCAAGCTTCACAGAAGCTGAAAACTCTATATCCAACTATATTTCCTACACAAAGCTCCTTTCACAGCCTTCCCAAACAAAGTCTTTGGACGCAGGTCTTCAAATCCAAGCATTTGATTATCAAATGATAGTAAACATAAGAACCACTTAATTACTTTTTATTTAAAATGTGGTACTTTTGACTATGCATGGAAACTGATCGATGAAAGTGCTGAACCAGATTTGGTGTCTTGGATCTGGATATACCCAGAATGGTTTTGGTAAAGATGCTATCTGGGGTTTCTTCAAAATGCAATTTTGGGTCTTAAATGTAATGAATTCACTTTTCCTCGTGTTCTTAAGGCATGTTCTTTTGAGAAGGAATTTCTGTTAGGAAAGCAGCTTCACGGTGGGGTGACAGGGTTTCAGTCTGATGTTTTCGTCGCGAATACTTTGGTTGTTATGTATGCAAAATGTGGTGAGTTTTTTCATTCTAGGTTGTCGTTCGAGGAAATTCCGGAAAGAAATGTTATTTCTTGGTATGCTTTGTTTTCTTGTTACACACAAACTGCTTTTTTCAGTGAGGCAATGTGTATGTTTCATGACATGATTGATAGTGAAGTTATGCCTGGTGAGTATAGTTTATCCAACACACTAAATGCTTGTACTGGTTTAGGAGATATTGTTCAAGGAAAGAAAATTCTTGGATTTTGGTAAAGCTTGGTTATGATTCTGATCCTTTCTCGTCTAATGCCACTTGTCGACATGTATGCCAAAGGGGGAGATCTTAAGGATGCAATTACAGTTTTTGAGGGAAATGCGGTGCCGACATTGTTTCATGGAATGCTTTTATAGTTTTTTTTTTTTTCCGTCATGAATGTCACCAGCAGGCTTTAGACACGTTGAATCAGATGAGGAGGTTTGGAATTTTCCCTAATGTGTTCACTTTATCAAGTGCTCTCAAGGCTTGTGCTGCATTGGAGCTTCCAGAATATGGTAAAGGATACATTCTCTTTTGATAAAGAAAGATATCATATTGGATCCATTCGTAAGTGTTGGTCTTATTGATATGTATTGCAAGCGTGATTTGACCAAGGATGCGAGTTTGATCTATGATCTGATGCCCGAGAAGGATTTAATTGCATTGAATGCTATGATCTCTGGTTACTCACAGATTGAGGAAGACAATGAATGTCTAGACCTTTTTGTTCAGATGTACAACCAAGGAATTAGATCTGACCAGAGAAGTTTACTTGCCATCCTCAACTCTGCTGCTGGCTTGCAGGCTGCTAATGTGAAACAAGTACATGTACTTTCTATGAAGTCAGGATTTCAGTGTTGACACATTTGTCATAAACAGTCTTGTTGATTCTTATGGAACATGTAGCCTGCTGGATGATGCAACTAAAACTTTTGACGAGTGCCCTATACGGGATTTGCCATCTTTTACCTCTCTTATAACCGCTTATGCTCTATATGGCCAAGGTGAAGATGCTATGAAACTCAACCTGAAGTTGCAAGATAGGGGACTCAAGCCAGACTCATTTGTTTGTAGTTCTCTCCTAAATGCATGTGCAAATCTATCAGCATATGAATATTGGAAACAAATACATGCTCATTTATTGAAATAGGAGTGCAGGCACCTTATGTCAAGCGGTGTCACATGACACCGCTTTGTCAAAAATTTTCGTCAATATGTATATATAGATAATAAGAAAAATACAAATATTTGATATAAATATAAAAAATGACACGGCATATCGTTGTAGTGATTTATGTTCACTTTTTCAAATGTTGACACCGCTTACAAAAATTCTTGCGTTTGCCACTGTATTGAAATATGGGTTCATGTCAGACGTATTTGCTGGTAACTCCCTAGTGAACATGTATGCCAAATGTGGAAGTATAGAGGATGCTAACCGTGCTTTCACTAAGGTTCCTAAGAAAGGTATTGTTTCATGGTCATGGACATGCAAAAGAGGTGCTTCATTTATTTGGCGAGATGCTGAATGATGGCGTATCTCCCTATCACATAACATTGGTTAGTGTCCTTTGTGCACGTAACCATGCTGGCTTAGTTGCAGAAGCCAAGAAGTATTTTGACACAATGATAGATTCATTTGAGATTGAACCAACTTAAGAGAATTATGCCTGCATGATCGATGTCCTTGGCCGGGCAGGAAAACTAGATGACGCTATTAATCTCATAAATAAGATGCCTTTTGAAGCTAATGTATCTGTCTGGGGTGCTCTTCTGGGTGCTGCAAGAATCCATAAGAGTTAAGAGGTAGGAATATGTGCTGCTGAGATGCTTTTTAATCTTGAGTCAGAGAAAGTTGGCACTCATGTTCTTGTAACAAACATTTATGCATCAGTTGGGTTGTGGGAAAATGTTGCAAAAGTAAGAAGACAGATGAAAGACAATAGAGTGAAAAAGGAACCTGGGATGAGTTGGATGAGGTCAAAGATAGTGTTTATACGTTTATAGTGGGAGACAGAAGCCATTCTAGGATTGGGACAGTTAATGACTAAAGCTGGTTATGTTCCAATCGTAGAGATTGATTTCCATGATGTGGAAAAGAGAGAAAAAGAAATTCTTCTCTCCTACCATAGTGAGAAACTAGCTGTTGCATTTGGGCTGATTGTAACACCTCCTGGTGCTCCTATTAGAGTGAAGAAGAACCTCCGGATATGTTTGGACTGCCATACAGCTTTCAAGTTCATTTGTAAAATTGTCTCTAAAGAGATCATTATTAGAGTATTAACCTATTCCACCATTTTAAGGACGTTTCTTGTTCATGTGGTGATTATTGGTAGCACTTGAAGGATTAACTCTTTCATTTGGCTAGAAGATCCTGCCACTGAGCAAGTTTATACTTTCTAATTCGCCTGGAGCTGATAAGAGGTTGGTTGAAACCTTTGGACCAAAAAACTTGTTTCTTGTTTCCTGTTTCCCTTATCCTCCCTTTAACAGCTTCTGCGTACGTTCAACTTGTCCCTGTAACTTATGGAATATTTGGCTTTTGGGAAATGTCCTGCTAACTGTGTCACTAATTATCTGAATACCTTTTCTCAGTAATATGAACACCTCGCCCTTACTTAATATTTTGATGAGGCATATCTCAATTCCTTATTGGCACAAAAATTTACTATATCTTGTGATGATAGCGACAATAACCTGACGAATCATGGTTATCTTGTAAACTGTCCTCCTAGAACAGTCTAACAGTAACTCTCTTATATAATTTTTTTTTGAAAAAATACAAAAATAGTTACAATTTTAATGCTAAAATCTTGTGCAGATTCAGTTTCCTTTTTGATATATCTATTGCAAAAATACCAGAGTGCATAGATATGTGTCATATGTGTGTTTATGTAATGCAGAAAGAGACATTCATAATTTTGCATTTATCGCTACTGCTCAACATATGTTCATATTGGGAAATGGTAACTCAATATGATAAAGGTAAAGAAGCATGTCTTGAAATGTAAAGTCTAACTGTTTCAGATAAGTAATCTGTAATTCTGTATCAGTAGTTGCATTTGGCTTTGTGAAATTGCATCTTATTTTTTATTATCCTTGTCTAACCTGATGTGCAATGTTTTCCTCTTGCTTCCGCTTAAGAAAATAAAATAAAAATTGATGCACAAGTTACATGATATTTAAATTTGCAAAGGATGTGCTTGCGAAATTCCATTGTCTGTGTTAGATATGGATGAATTGAAGTTATATGATGGGTTCCATGAATGTATAGAACTTACTGAAAAAGGATGATTGTTTTTGTTTCTTTCTTTGGTAGGCTGATGCTGCAGGTCTCCACAATCTCCAGTATCAAAATCAATAACTAGTTCAACAGTTAGATGCCAGAAACACAAGTTGCATGATCTTGAAGGCAAAAGGATAGAATTATGGGACAGTGAAGCTTCTTATGATTACTTCTTGGTTACATTAAATCGGCTCTGGAATCAGCTAACTTCTTTACTCATCTTAATAGTGTGGTGTCTGAATGGCCTAAAAAACCTAACTTGTGATTTGCGTCGTTTGATGGTCCTCTAAGTGATCTGATTCTTCTTGGAGCACGCAGTGTGGCAGATCAATTTGCTTTGCAAAGCTGGGATCATCTGGATTATTCTCGAGGTTGGTTGTTAGAAGAATATGTGAATTTGGGTTTTATGTATTATCCTGAAACTTCAATGTAGAAAAGATAAGCTCTTGTGCATTGTTGTGAGAAAAATTTATTGATTTCTAAAATCATTTAGGTTCAATTCTATGATGTCCCACGGAGGAGATATTCCTGTGTAGGCTGTAGAAAACCAATGTTTGGCAGTTCCAATGCCAAATCTATTGTGAATATCAGAGAAGCTCATGATCTGTGTCAATCTTTATCTTGGAAGATGCTATTGATGCTCAGCGAACTAAAACAGAATTTTTTTCTCTTGTTTTGGAAGGACAGACATCAGCACAAGGTAGTAACCTGGAAAGACCTTGATGTGGTCCTACTTTTCTACTCTTTATTCTGTGATTACTTTGCAAGTTTTAGTTGTCGTCGGGATTTATTTTTTACTATGTACAGATGTGGTGCTTGAATCAGGTCAAAACTGATTATTGGCCATCATTTAAATTTTCAGATGCTATCATTCTTTTAAGGAAGGTCGATGCTACGATGAAAGAGGAGTTCTTCATTTCAAACACAAAGAATAGGCTGATGCAATTGGAGTTTGTCGTCAAAGCCATTCACTGCTTCAATCTGAGTTAAAATGCCTTGAAGGTATTTGCTACATTTCTTTTTTCATGCACGAACACAATTTTTTGAGGTGTACGTATATGAGAGCTCTAAAGTACAATCAGTATTCTGACTTATAGTCAACATTGATATCAAATTGTAGAGACAGTACTTCTGTGGCTGTAGGAATTGGTATATGATGTTTATCTTCAACCATGTATGATGGCATGGAATTGAAAGCTAAGAGCTCCAAATAGAAAACCCGTATCATCAGTTACCGTCCAGCCAACTTATACAAAGAGCTGTGCCTGCTACAGAGTGGCAACCTGCTTCTGAGTCAAACTCAATGTCCCAGGCAGATGAAGGTTTATGTCAAGAAGGTAAGATGAATGCATATTCGCAATCAATGTCGCTACATCTTTGAGTTACTGCATCCTAGCTTCTAGCTCATTATATTACCGAGTTTAGCTAGGATTTGACTCTATATACTTTTCTCCAGGGGAAACAAAATCTGTCTACCTGAGCAATTTGCCGTCCACTGTACTAGTCTAGATTCTTTGCTAGAGTTTAAGAACTTCGGTAAGAATAAGCAGGATGGAGTATTCTTGAAAAAGCGCAAAGTAGTTTTTTTCCGGTTGTCAATATTATATGCTTCAATTGTCTTACATGCTCTAATATTTTGATTGCAATTGATGGGCAGGATATCAGCATTTGCTATATCTTTGTTGAGCTTGAATACCTCCAAGGTGTCCAAAATGCAATTAAGATATGAACTTTGAAAATTTGAAATCATGATTCATGTTGTGTGTTTTCGTGGAGGATTTTGAGTTGCATTTCTAGTTATTGGTAAAAGCTGCTCTTATTTTTTCCTTTACCTTCTGTCCTGTATGATTCTCAGCAGATTGTTCACTCATTCTTAATGTTGGCTAGCTTGTAGCATTAAATCGCATTCGTAAGTTCTGCGTTTGAAATATTTCTGATCACATAGATCAATGATCTTGTATTAAATGGTTGTGGAACTTGCTATCAGTAGATAAATTGTTTTCTGAAACAATATGATGCAGTTAGTTGTCTTGAGTAATAGTTGTAATTGGAAGGTGTACTTCCATGAATTATTGCCACAATCTCATATTCAGACATTACTTTGTTATCTCATCCCTTGTATACCTAGTATATGATGCTTTCTCTTCCCTGTTCTTAGACATTACCCGTACAGTTGGCTGGAAGGCAAGTCTACATTGAGGAAAGTAGATCAATCAGCAGTAGTGTTTCTCGTGGAGGTAGTCTGTACCTTAAAATTAATTTCAATTTCACAAGGTGAGAAGTGCTAATCTTGTACTTTTGAATATTTATCAATTATACTTTGAAGCTTCATTTGCTTGTATTTGTGGTCCATACAAAAGTGGCAGTTACAAATATCCACGGTAATGGCTCTCTGCTTCATTTAATTCAACATGATTAAGATATTTGCTTCGTGTTCTGAATTTGCTCTTTTGTGTGAAACTGAAAGTATAGGTCCTAGCCAGACTTCTTCTTATATTTTAAAGTATAAAACTTTAAATCTCTGTTATGTCGTGGTCTTTTACTTCTCACCAATTAAATTGAGAAACAAGCCAATGCACAAACTCTGCCTTTAATTTTTCTTAGGGTGAATAAATGAACTACTAATATTGGAGCCAGATAATTTCGTAGAATTTAGAATTTGAGTTTTTGTGCTTTCCTTGAAGTATACCAAACATGTGAAGATGTTCCAAAAGGACAAGTGTATAAATAACTTGGAATGAGGGGAGCTTAATCACTAATTTAGTAACCTAAAATTTATTGACAGATTGCAATGACCTTGTAATATCAATATCGATTTTATTTACTTCAATAGCATAGTCCTTGGCATTGCCTGAAGCTTGAATCTGTGAACTTTTGTTTGTTCTAAGGCATGAGCTTAGTGTGTGAAATCTGTTATTTATATATCAACGAAATCTGTTACCATTTCAAAAAAAAAAAAAAAAAAGATCTTAGCATGTGAAACCAGGGAATTTTAGAAAGATTTCTTGAGATGAGGTGGTTCAGGTGATGATGAGACTCTAAATTAGATGTCTGTGGAATTGTTTCCTAGATACATACGTGTCAGTTAGTTATTCTCCTTCTACCATAGAGGGCCATAAATTCTTTTTTGGGCAACTAAGTTGGGAGAGTCAATACTCTTGTCAAATAAGCAGAAGAGAGGGGGGCCTGCTGTACTTATATCTCTTTATGCTTTTCTTAGAGATTTGTTCAATCTTTTGCTTGCTTGAGTAGTTCTTTGGTTGAACCAATTACCATTATCCTTGTATGCGGGATATAATATCTTGGTCATGACTTTTAATCTCCATGTTCTTTAGTTAGCCTGTGTACGGAGATTTCCTGTTTCATTTGGATTGATATGACAGTACTTCAACTCCCAAATATGTTTGTTTGGTTATCAACTAACTGGGGGTACTGTAGACTTCCCATTTTATTGGCTTGCGAGTTTTTTTTATTGTATAAAAGGGAAATCTTATTAAGATACTAAGTACCAGTACAAGGCTTGATCTTTCTAGGGTACATGGTCCTTTTAAGATCACTTTCAAAGTTAAGCTTCAAAAACAGGAGGTACAACATAAAATAAAATAAAATTCATTGAGTTGCATCTTCCTTTCTTCCTTCCTTAGCTACGCAGTCTGCAGTCTGCTACCTTGTTTGCTTCTTTGTAAATATGTCATACCTGAAATCCTCCTAGCCTAGATAGTAGGAACCTGCACCCATCAATCAGATTAGTATAACTAGTATTACCTTCTTTTATCATGTCAATCACTTATCTGGAGTCAAGTTTCAGTTTGTAACCGATGGAAGTGATGCCTTAATGCTATTTCTGGACCTTCTCTTAGAGCTCTTATTTCTTCATGGTTATTTGTTGTGTAGGGGATAGATTTGGAGTATCCCAAAAGCCAGCTACCATTACTGTTTCTGAATACACCACTCAAACCCCCTCTGCCTTAGAAGCCCCGTCAATATTAAGTTTAATCCAACCTATGTCTGGAGGTTGCCACCTTATTTGTTTTAAGATGTAGTCCTTAGAGTTATTATTTCCTATTAAGGCTCAAAAAAAGTCAAAGGCTCTTGATAAAATGTGGCTTGTGATGTATTGTTGGTGGGTGCAAATTCTAATTTTATTACTTTTTTCACCCTTCGACATGTGTTTGCTGGATTTATGAAGAATTCAACCTTATCAAAGAAAAAGAAGAAGAGAATATTTCAATGATTACGAGCAGAGCACCATCAAAGAATATTTTAGTAACTGCACTATCTGCTGCTTTAATTATGCATGTTTTGACCCTCTCTTTGTCAACATATTCTTCCACAACTGCCTTGATCAGTTAGGCAAAGAGGCAAAGGAGGATGTTCCAGGATAGGAATTTTCAGAGGGGAAGCAATCAAGGCAATGGTTTTCGGGGCACATGATATATAAGAGTATAACTAAGCAACCTGAAAAACAAAATTTTGGCAGAGGATGATGAGGAATGAAGTGTTCTCTCTTTCTGATGGTATAGTCTTCTCACGAAAGGAATTAGATATATCTCAGTGTTCTCTTTTCCTTTTTTTTTTGGGCATCCAGAAATATATTTTTGCTCTTTCTCCTATAGTCACAGTTAATGCTAATTTCTCCTACAATGATGGTACTACAATCCAAGATGAAATAATGTTATTTTGATTGTTCAATGCAGCTTGTCAGAATGTCTTGAGCAAAGCTAAATGGTATGGTGGTGACATCAAGCGGCTTCCTCATAATCCATGTCCCCAATTCTCCTGATTGTAATATGGTATTAAACATGTAAGCTTTGCAAGCAATGAAAATCACGAGGAAATTGTCAATATAAACGCTTAGCACAATTGGAGTTTGACAAGTGCTTCTGTTTCACCATTCACAGGGCTAGTCAGTCAACCACGACAGCAGAAGAAATACAGAAGTCCTGTGCATCAGTTTTATTACTACCTTAGAGGCTAAATTACAGGTTCTTTCTAATTGCTCACTAAGCTTCAGCTAAAACTGCTGTTAAATATTTGAATGAATAATGATTTTCTTTCAATTCAAGCCGTTATAGAGGCTGTAGCTACGGTATGCAGCATTCGTGGTGCTTGTATATCATCATTCTCATCTTCTATCTCCCAGAGGAAATTAGCATAAGCTGCATGTATGTGGCTGTCAACACATCAAAGATGAAGAGGTCAGTTCTTGAAATAAATAACAACTTGTTCTTGAATTGTATTTCTATAATAAAGCTTATTCTCAGTAGTGTATGAGAAGCGAACCTGTCACTAGAGGCAGCTTGAACTGCTCTTTCAAAATAGCTCGTGGCTCTATCTTCATCACGGTGAAGCTCCCATATTAGTTTAGCGTACTGTGAAAGAATTTCACCATCACTTGGATCTGCTAAAATAGCTCTTGAGTAGTATTCCTCTGCCCCTTTAAGATCTTTCTTTGTCTGCTCCAACATGAAAGAAGATAATTAGCAAAAGCATAGGTAGCTATTCTGGACTCCTAAGATCGACAACAGTAGCTTAATTAAGGAAGCATAAAGACTCACTTGGTATAAAAAGTTGGCATAATTCCTCAAGAATAGAGAATTGCCAGGATTCTCTTCCAACATCCTCTTGTAATACTCTTCTATGCGGAGCCCCTGGCTGTCGCCACCACCTTCCCTATCAAAGGCTACTGGCCGATAACCGCCTCCTCCTCCTCCGTTGCCCCAGCCTCCATAGGGGCCACCATCATCAAAACAACCAATATCAGCAATCCCAATTCCTCTTGCTAGGTACATTTCTTCTCTGCCTTCAACAAATTCTAACTTTGAATTTTGACTCACATAACTCATTTCCTCTTTTACACCAATAGTTCCCAAACTGTACTGCTTACTAATGTAACCAAAGTCATCATCTTCATCTTCCTCATCATAGCTGTCGTCGTCCGAATGAAACTCCCTTGAATTGTGAATGTTGAAAGATGGAATGGTTTCCAAGAATGCTTTGTGGGGTTTACGTACAAGCGTCTTCGGTAGTTTTGAGAGGCTAAATTCATCAACTTCTTCAGTTGAGGCTTTTGCCAATACTTCCAAGTTCCCTTCAGATTGAGCTCTTCTAATACCATGAGATGTTAATTGTCTGCCATTGCTAAGCTCAGAAACTGAAGGAGAGATGGGAGAGTTAGAAGGGTATAAAATCTTGGTGTAATTCTGATATCCACCATGGTTACATGAGAGTGTGGTGTAACTATGGTGAATGGAATTGGGTGTGTGATTAGGGGCTAAATCAGAGTGCTGGTGGTGGTGGTGATTGCTGGGACTTTCTGAGAGTAAAGATCTAAGAAGTGGTGTCGATGAACTCCTTAACATCATTTTACTTTTCTTGTTTGAGTGTAAAACAAAGATTCAATCTCTATTTATGTGATTTTAAAGTTCCTGTAGAGAAGAGAAAAGATTTTAGGCATAAACTGACAAACACCAGAAGGAAAAATCAATAGCAGAAGCACAAAGAGAGATTTACCTAAAATGAGTATTCTTGAAAATCTTCTGGACCAATAATCTTGCTGGTAAAGGAATGCCCCTTGTATAGAAAGAAAAGATTTTGACATAATAAATTGAAGATATTACAGTAGTGTTGGAATTGAAGAAAAAAAGGAGTGGTGGAGAATGAAAGTTTCCAGCTAGCTTGCAAAAATATCAGATTTTGCTCAATTATTATTTTAGCTGGAAAAGGTCAAGAGTGGTTGCTTTTTCACATGTGTGTTTTGGGTGATATGCTCCGTTGGTTACCAAAGAAAACAAATTTGATTTTGGGATTCATCTACAGCTTGGAATAACAAAAAATGAAGAGTTGTCCACTTGTTTTCTTGGGTAGGACTAAGAAGGTAACAAGGTAAGAATGTAGTCTGACATTTTAGCATTTGAATATCCTGGCATTTAGCACGTTTTTCACCTATTTCACGTTACGCGTTCTACTGCTTAATTGATTAGTATGTTACTAACATATATAATCATATACAAATTCTGCTGCAGGAGTTTCTACAACAATTATTCACACGATTTGGCTCCAAATCTCAATTTTCAAATGTAATTTGAGAATATTGTTTTCGAAAACTGATTTTGTTGATACCTATGAAAGCTAGGGAGAAAGTGCCACCCTTGCTTTTTTCCCCTTCTTCTTCTTCTCTTTATATTATTTTTTTGGGAGGGTTGGGTTTGGGGGTGGGGGGTGGGGGTGTCGCGGAAAGGGAGAAGTATAATCTTTTCAATTTAGAAGATCTTACACCACAAGCGAATTCTATTTTTCAGTTAAAAATCTCTGTAACTTTGGATTTTAAATAATAATCTTAGTTGATATTTATGGGACATTTGAGACTCTAAAAAGGGTTTAAAATCCTCAATGTTTACAATTCCAAAAATTTAAGATTCCGTATGGATATGTTAGTGTAAGATTTTAAAAAGTGTTAGCGTAAAATAAGCTCACATTGCCAATTAATGCTTTTGTAAATGCTGTAATTAAGGAGAACTACATGAATATATAAACTTAGACATCAAAGTTCCTAGAGAGAGAAACTCCAACATCTTTCTAAAAAAACTCTAAACTTCCAAAAAACTTTTCTCACATCCCTCCACCAAGTATGGACGCTGATACAGAGATGATTTTGATTCCACCCAAACCGCCGGACATTATCAACGATTGTACTGCCCGATTGCCTAGTAATCTACAAACCTCTTTTAAAGATAAATTAATTAGGGGAAGGGAAGGGTTGGATATCATCACTGATTTCACCACACTCATAGTCAACTCTGTCGATATCACTTCCTCAATGATACCCCTTGAATCAACCTTTGAAGAAAAGAAAATTTCTCTTTCACAAGAGGATTAAAATCGGATGTACATGCCCTGGAAACTCTCCATCATTATTAAGTTACAAGGGAAAAGAATATTCCACCAAATCCTCAAGAAAAAAGTCCAGGAGCTTTGGAAAGTGTCTGAAAATTTTTCCCTAATAGACTTAGGTTCAGATTACTACATAGCTAAATTTCAAAATCAAGAAAGCATGATCTCAGTTTTACAAAATGGTCTGTGGTTCATCTTTGGCCATTTTCTCTCATGTCAAAGGTGGGAACCAAATTTCGTAGCATCTAGCGCCAAACAAATCCACACAGCTGTTTGGACCCGTCTACCAAATTTACCTACTGAGTTTTATGATGGGATCATTCTTCAAAAAATTGGGAACTCGATTGGTAGACTTCTTAAAATAGATGCTTGTACCTCATCTACCCTAAGAGATCGTTATGCTCGTCTCTGTGTGGAATTACCTATGGACAAATCAGTTGCAAAATCTCAAATTGAAAAATACAAGCAACTAATTGAATATGAAGGAGAAAAAATATTATGCAAGAGCTGTGGACTATTAGGGCACACAATACACATTGCCCTATGGCTGGAATACCATCAGTCCAAGCAAAAAGTAATAAGGAGGAGACAGTAGATTAACATCAGGAGAAAGAAAGGAATGAAGAAGGCGGGCACACAGTGTCTTTTCAGAAACCAAAAAGAATGCAAAAAATCACAAAGGAAGACAAAGAGAACTCTGCAGATGCAGGTATAGATGTAAAAATCTTTAATGCTGCGACAGATAAGTACATTCACACTCAAAAGCTGAAATTTGTCCATAAGGATAATTCTTCATTGTCTTCAATACAGTATGATTCTCGATTGGCAAAATCCACCAATACAAGTATGGGAAACAAGTTAGATAACATGGATCAAGAAAACCGTTTCTTTACTTTGAGTGAGGAGCACACTGTTTCAGAAAACCACTCCCCTCAAAATAACTTATTATTAAAAAACAAAAATAATGTTAACATGCATGCTTATCTAGAAAACCTAGAAAAGACAAAACTGGTTAATAACCTTATTAACCCTAATGATCCTACTATTCACACGCCTAACCAATTGAATGCAGAAAACCTATCAAAAACAAATGAATTAACCCCCTCATCGTGTGATACTACTACACTAAACTACCCCCTAGACAAGATAATTCCAATAACCCCCAAAACCCATTCGTAAAAGACAAAACCAACTCCCTAATTAATTCACACTTGTCCACTATTGCGCTGGACGGTGAACAAATGGAAGCATGCATGGGATATGTGGCCAAATCTCCCCATGCAAAATCTTCAAAATCTTCAAATAAATCCTACACGCTAAACCCCCAAATTGCATGCATGTAGATGCAATCATTCCCCATTCTACAACTCCTACCAATTTAAACACTACTAACATCCTCAGGAATGCCAAGAATCACATTAACCAACCGAAAGAGATATCAGTTGATCCAAATCCCTCGCAACCATCCCCCCTTGAACATGGAAAACCTTCCTCCTCTTCCTCAACAACTCCCAAACAACCCCATTATCTAAGTCCAACCACCACTGCCCCAGGATCACCACCCCCTATCTTGGATAGAGTTAGGGCTAATGGGGAGGGGTCTCATGTTTAATGCAACAATCAATGTTCAGGAGAGTGTAATTTTAATTCAAAATCCTCGCTACCTAGCACAACTAGTATCCGAAGGTCTTCATCTTGCCATGAACAACTATTTGAATCATGTATGGGTAAACAATATCCTTCAACCTCTAGCTCATCTCTTAAACCCAAACTTAGTGCAAGAAATGAGAGGTCAATGGAACCTACCCCATCACGTCCCAATACTACCACAAAACCTAGGTCTAGATCTCCCATTCTTCCCACTAGAAGCCCTAACAGCCCTGAACCCAATCCTAATGCAATTGGAGGCTCCACAACCACCACAACATCCCCCACCTCCAAACATGCAAATGAACATGGAAAATATCAACCCAAATCCTCCAATTATTCCAAACATGGGAAACCCAGTGGAAGAAGAAATGAACGATCCGATAGACTTGATTGGAGAATCAGTGGTGGAATTGGGAAGCCTAAACGAAGTAAAGGTCTTCTTGTTCAAAGAAGCTCAAGAGAAGAGGCATATTCTCAGTTGTCCACCGAATCTCTACAAGTGTGCAATGGACATACGCCCACCTCAGGATCCAACGGTAGGCAACAGAGCAATGATCTTAGTCCCATCTGTGAGGAGAGGCTCACATCTGTCCATGGAGAATGGACACAACTCAAGCCGAACTGCTAATATGTCTAGCCCTATAAACTTTATTATATGGAATATTAGAGGTGGGAATAATGAGGACTTTAGAAGAAATTTTAGGGATCTTATGGTAACCCATAGGCCATGCATGGTTGCATTACTGGAAACTAGAATGCATGCTCATGGCTCTCTTATGAATGACTTTGGGTTCTCGGAGTTGATTGAGGTGCCTGCTGAGGGCCAAGCTGGTGGTATGGTTGTTCTTTGGGATCATACCAAAGTGAACGTGCATAACCTTGTTCGTCGTAACCATGAAATCCATGCAACTATTGAGGTATGACCTACTAACTTTAGCTGGCTTTTTTCATCTATCTACGCTAGTACAAATCCTGTTATTAGAGATAAAATGTGGGAAAACATTAAAAATATTGCGGATAATCACAATGGTCCCTGGTTAGTTGGTGGTGATTTTAATGATGTCTTTACTACTAATGAAAAACTAGGGGGAAGATCTATAAACCGAAGGCGTGTCCTTAAGCTTTGGTCTTACTTAAACTATTGTAATCTCTTAAACCTAGGGTTCAAGGGTAGCAAATATACATGGTCAAATCGTAGATTTGCAAATAACAAGCTTATTATGGAATGGTGTTGCGGCCAAACGCACACGCAAGTATACGCGGTCGTCAAGTAATAAAGTGACTAAAAGTCGGATGTCGAACCCACGAGGACTTGTGATTAACTATTAACTAAATTAGACTATCCTAACTATCTAAACAAGAATTAAAACTAGAAGTATTTGATTCTAAACTAATTAAAATAAATAAAAAAAAATAATAAACTTTGAACGGAGGAAGAGCGGATTTTTATGTTATCAATATGATGAAAACGATCTAGGGTTATGGGCTATCTAACATTCTTATTGTATTCTTCAATTGAATTGACTAACTAATTTATCTAGTTTAATGGTTAACAAGGTTAATATTGCTCATAAGAATCTGTCGAGTTCTCACTCGCCTATTCAAGCTAACGTAACGCCTATATGTCTTTGGAGTTAGAACTAACAAGGATGCATTTATAGTTCCTGTAATCAACCAAGCAAGGCAATTAGGTATATGTCTATCCTAACCGCGAATCCGTACCCCGATGCCTAGGTTCAAGAACTTGCTCTATTCAATCCTATATGCAATCTAGGATTCCCACTTTCGAGTTCAATTCTAGATTCGTAGATAGTATTCAATTGGTGATCAAGCAATCAAATAATTAAGTGCAGGATTGAATAAATAAACTAATATGATAAACTAAGAAATCAAAATCAGTATCCGAATAACAATAGTCATGAAAGAACCACAACCTTAGAACGTGAAGTTTAGCTCCACATAGACATGGTAGCCAAACAACAGATCATACGAAGAAACATAAAATTATAAAGTTTGGTGGAAGAAAGATGAAACCGGGCCTCCACGGCGGCTCCTTGTTCTCCCTAGGTTGAATTCCTTTCAAAAAGTGTGTTCGATCACCTAAAAAAGGTGTTTTTGTCCTATATATTGCGTACAAAAGTCGTGGGCCAAAGTTCTCCTATTCCTAATTCGAATCAGCTTCAGGGATTGATGCTGGGGTAGATGCTTCGCATCCACCTCGTCCTCCACTTCTCAGCTTCGCATGCTAGGGTGGATGCGAACATCCACCCTTTGTTCCTCCATCTCAGCTTTGCCTAGGTGCGGATGCTATGGGGATGCTATGGGCCGACTTCACTGCTAAGGGTGCACCAAGTAACCTTCTTTCCAAGGTTGGATGCGACGCATCCACCCTCTTCTCCTCTAGTTGGAGCACCTTTTCTTCATATTTTTGCACTCCAAACACCCTAAATCATCACACACAACTCCATTAGTCATAAAACCAATAACTAAAGCATGTTGGGCATTTTTAACACCAAAAAGCACCAAAAAGCGGTTAAAACATGAGTGAAGTAATATCAAAACGTATAGAAATATGCCCAACATCAATAGGCTTGATAAGTTATTTAGTAATGATCTATGGATTCAAAAATTTCCTAATGCTTCCATAATCCACCTCCCCAAAACCCATTCGGATCATAATTCTTTACTTATCAACCTCACTCCAAAACAGTGTGCCCCCTATCCTAAGTCTTTTAGACTTCCTTTTTGGTGTAAACATCCCCAATTTCATAGTGTGGTAGAAAATTCTTGGGGAAATAATACCTTCGTAGAGGCCACTGCCATCTTCAGAAATAATGTCACCACTTGGAAAAATAACACTTTTGGTGACATCTTTAAAAATGAAAGAAGAATCCTAGCTAGACTTAATGGTATCCAAAACTCGATTAACTATTATACTAGTCCTTTCCTTCAAACACTAGAAAACACTTTAAGACTTGAATATAGTAACCTCTTAAAACTAGAAGAAGACTACTGGAAGCTTCGTTCAAGAATTCTCTGGTTAAATGAGGGAGATGCTAATACTAAGTTTTACCAAATAATGGCCACCAATAGAAAAAGAAAAAACAAAATTGCTTTCTTCAAAAATGACCAAGACAGATGGATTAGTGATCCTGATGAGATTATTGTCCATACTAGTGAGTATTTCAAAACAGTTTATACTACTTCTCAAACATCTAGTGATTGGGATAGCATTAGAAATGACCCTCAATCATTTACTAGTATAGACCTAACCTTTCTAGACAACCCCATCACAAATTCTGAAATAATGAAAGCTTGCTTTTCTTTTAAACCCTTCAAAGCACCTAGACCAGATGAGCTCCACCCTTTTTTTTCCAAAAATACTGAAAAATTATAGGCAACTCAGTTACCAGCCTTTGCAGGGAAGCTTTCAATAGTGGAACTATTCCTGAAGGTATTAATGATACTTTCCTTTGTCTAATTCCTAAAATCCGTAATGCAAATAATTTAAAAAACTTTAGGCCCATTGGCCTCTGCAATACTATATACAAAATTATCACTAAAGTAATTAGCAACCGTCTAAAATCTTTCCTAGATAATCTTATTAGTCCCTATCAAGCTAGCTTCCTTAAAAATAGGAAAGCCTGTGACAATGCGATTATTATTCAAGAATTGATCTTAAAAATGAATAGGTATTATGGTAGACATCATAATATGATTTTAAAAATAGATCTAGAAAAAGCGTTTGATCATCTGGAATGGTCTTTTATCTACAGAGCCCTAATCTTCTTTAAATTCCCTCTTAAAATGATTAAGCTTATTATGAATTGTATAACAACCACCAGAATAGCCATCTTGGTGAATGGTTCTAGAACTGGTTACTTTATGACTAGTAGGGACATAAGACAAGGGTCATCCTATTTCCCCATACATATTCATTCTTTGCATGGAAATGCTTTCCACCTTAATTAACCATAAGGTAGATTTAGGTGTCTGGAGCCCAATTACGATCGGTAAAAATAACCACCAACTGTCCCACCTTTTCTACGCAGATGATCTTACTCTAATGTCCAAGATTAATGATAAATTCATAAGATCCATTAAGCAGTGCTTAGAGCAGTTTTGCAACTTGTCTGGTCAGTCAATCAACAAATCTAAGTCAAAAATTATTATTTCAAAACACTGTCCCAAACATATTGGTACCAATTTAGCAAATACTTTCAATATAAATATTAGTAATCCGTTTGGAAAATACTTAGGTTTTTCAATTACTAATACGAAGCCTAGAGCAAAAGATTTTCAATTAGTTCTCGATAATATGCTTGCTAGACTAAGAACTTGGAAATCTAACTGCCTAAATATGGCAGGTAGAACTGTGCTGGCCACCTCTTGCCTTAATTCCCTCCCTAGCCATATTATGCATTACACTTTGTTGCCTAGCAAAATCCTTAGTACAATTGATAAGATTCAAAGAAACTTTATTTGGGGATCTAATGCAACCTCAAAAAAACTCTATCTTATTAACTGGGATACTATTACTAGACACAAGAAAGAGGGTGGGCTAGGAATTCATAAAGCAAAGAGTAAAAATTTAGCAAGCCTAGCAAATCTCTCTTGGAGACTTCTTACCAACACTTGCTCTCCTTGGGCAAAATTAATCATACAACTTCATGGTTATAGGAAAACCGCTATTAATTCCTCCTTCATATGGAACGGTATCTTGAAAGGGTTGGAAATTTGTAATAAGGGCATTGCATGGATCCCTCATAAGTCCTCAACCCTTAGTGTTTGGAATAGTCGTTGGATTCACAACACTCCTCCTCTTCGCCAGTGTATTTCTGGCCCCCAAGCAGATAACTTGCTTACTATAAAAGATATTTGGAGTAATAAGAAATGGGATCTTTCAAATATCTCCATTGGTCTTGAAGCTACCATAATTAACAAAATAAAGGCTATAACTCATAATGCCAGCAATTGTGACACGCCTACTTGGTCGCTTAATACCAATGGGCTATTTACTACCAAATCTTGCTATATCCTAATTGAAAACCACCCTATTAATGAAATAGACTTTATGTGAATTTGGAACCTAAAGTGCCCTAATAAACTAAAGTTCTTACTTTGAAAATGTCTTCACAATAGACTGCCTACTAGAAGCCATTTAAATTATATTGGTATTAACATCGATCCAGTGTGCTCTTACTGTAAATCCGAGAAGGAAACTATTAATCACGTCTATTTAGACTGCCTAGCGGTAAGGGATTTATGGCTTCAACTCGGATTGGACATGAGCAGTAGGAATTTTTGTAATAATTGGGTAACTAATCTTAGAGACCATAATATACCATTTGAGAATAGTATTATCACATGGACTGATATTTTTCCTTTCATTATATGGTCTATTTGGACTAATAGGAATAATAATCTCTTTATCAATACCACAAATAAGTCGGCTCTCCATCATGCCCTTAACCAAGCGGTGCAATACAAGCTTCTCACACAAAATGAAGTAATAACTCATAAACTTATCCCTATCACCGTTAACTGGATTAAGCCTCCAGCAAACACTATTAAGCATAATACTGATGGTTCATTTATGGAACAAGTTCTCTATGTGGCTTTGGTGTATTTTCAGAGATAGTAGGGGTCACTGGATAGTTGGCTTCTATGGGGCCTCTCCAGGCTTATCACCCCTACAGGCAGAGCTATTGGCTTTAAAAATAGGCCTCCAAATAGCAAAAGAGCAAGGCTTAACCAATTTAGAAGTGGAACGGACTCTACTGATGCCATTAATTGTTTGGAAAATGGAATAACTATTTTTAATAACATCATCTTTGAGTGCAGGTTGTCAATGAACCAGGTGAAGGTTCAGGGAATCCACCACATTTTCAGGGAAGCCAACAAGCTGGCACATATGATGGCTAGGAGAGCACTGTGTGACAACAAAGGCAGGGATCTTACTATTCTCTACTACCCCCCACATTTTGCAGGTAACGTCTTAAGATCGGACAGTGAAGACACTACTCATCTTATTGAAAATATTAGGAAAGATGTTTGTTCAAGACTAGCTTATTTTGGGAACAAAAATATCCTTCGAGACATGTTATATAATAGCCAAGTAGTAAGTGGCCCACCGGGCAATTATGGATGTATGAACCCTACTATTATGTGATATCTAAATAAGATCCTTGTTATCAAAAAAAAAAAATATAAACTTAGACATCGTAGACGAGAATCATTATTATATACATCATATTAGTTTGATAACCTGACTTGTAAATCGTGATTGTATAAATCCTATTAGTTTGATGACCTGAATTATAATTATCTTGTATTAGTTTTTTCTTTTTATCTTATCATAATTTTAGCAATATATATATATATATATATATAAATTGATAAAAATTGATTATATATTTAGTAAAGTGACTTTCCTAATCAATTTTCTTTAGTTCAGTACAAAGTCAAGCATGTCGAGTCATGGAGCAAGTTCGTAAATAGTTTTAGTGGACGCTTTTAATTGTTTAAATAATTAGGTGAAATGAAAAATGCCAAATATCCTTGTTACAAAAGGTAAAATTGAGTGATCTTTTAAGTTACTATAAAATTACTTTAATAACCAATTTTCATTAGTTCAGAACCTTCTGAGGAATCAACTCTTTTTATCGGGCAAGTTTTACCGCATATATGATACTTATCAAATAACCAAATTTTTGAGTACCTGAATATAATCCAATATATAGACGATATCTAGAAGGATAAAGCTCCATTATTTCCTTCTGATCCTTGTGTATATCCCAAAGGCTCTGGACTGACTACTCTCTCAGCAGATGACGTCGCATTATTTTACCAATTTCTATTTTGTAACTTAATGTTTATATCCCTTCTTTAATTGGAAGAATTTTGTGACAATATGGACACGACTGATCAGCAGCACGTGTGTGGTGGGGTTTTTCTTCACAATGGAAAGAAGGGGAAGTGCACGATTAGTCATTATTTATTTATTTTTAAGTCACTGTTTAAAATATATTTAATATTCAGCCAGTAATTTAATAAAGTTTTACCTACAGGATGAAAATACTCCTGTGCTAGACTTATAATAAGTCAAGCTTCGCTCTATAAACCTTCGTTCGTCAACCTACGCTCAGTTTTGTCCCAATCTCCATCAACCTGCTTTCTCCTCCTATTTCACCTTAAAATCACAGAAGATTATCCACAAAAATAGTAAGTTCTAATCAATTTTTTAGTTTTAAATCAATTGTGTGCATAAACTTCCAGATATCTCTATATGCTTTTTTGTGTTTGGGTGGTTTTCCCCTTAACAGTATGTATTCGATTTTTTTTGTTGTAATAATATCTATTCCAAATTTGTTTTTGGTATTAGTACTTGCTAATTTGATGATAGAACAAACTTAGAACTTGAATATGTAATATTAATTTCAAAGTGTGTCCTGAATTAGCACCTTCAATTGATGAAGTTTAGGATATCGTGTTCATGAGTGTTGTGTAAATATTAAGTTCAAAGTATGTCCTGGATTAGCAGCTTCTATTGATAAACTTTAGGACATCGGATCTCTAACTTCATGACTGCTGTGTAAATATTAAGGACAAAGTGTCCTGAATTTACACCTTCTATTGATAAACTTTAGGACATCTTGTCCTTAATTTTATCTGTGCAGTGTAAATATTTAAGGACAAAGTGTCCTGAGTTTGCACCTTCTATTGATAACTTTAGGACATCATGTCCTTAACTTCATGTGTGTTATGTAAATATTAAGGACAAAGTGTCCTGTATTTGCACCTTCTATTGATAAACTTCAGGACATCCTGTCCTCAACTTCATGTGTGCCGTGTAATTATTAATGACAAAGTGTCCTGAATTTGCACCTTCTATTGATAAACTTTAGGACATTATGTCCTTAACTTCATGTGTGTAGTGTAAATATTAAGGACAAAGTGTCCTGGATTCCACTTTTCTTGACTTGCAGGATGGATACAATATGTATTGTTGTTGCTTTCAACGGAAAATGGACCCCAGACTATAAGTATATGGATCATCAAACAAAGCTTGTTCTTGTACCTGAGGCAATTCGATTTGAAGATTTCGTCAATCAGGTCTTTGAAGTTATTGAATTGGATAGAAACAAGTTTGAAGCAATGATATGATTTGATATCAACCAATGAAAAGGCAAGGGAATGCTTGTAACCAAAGATGAAGATCTTCGAACATGTATAGAGTTGCTGAAAAGTCATTCACTCTTCAAGTGTTGTCGTTTCGTTGTTGATGTTTCGGAAAGAGTTTTTGGCTCTGCAAGCACCTTTGAACAAGTCAACATAGAAACTCAACAAGACAAACAAGACAAATGTGAACATATAATAAAAGTAGATATGGTCGAACCTGAACCAATAATTGAAGAAGTACTTCAAACATTCAATTCTATTCGTATAGAAGGACAAAGTATTACAGAGATTGACAACCAACGAGCTCTAGGTATACAAGTCTTAGAGAGTGCACCTGTAATTGAAGAAGTTGCAGAAAAATCATCTACTCAACTAACTAGATGAAGGTAAAAGTTGAAACAAAAAGAATCCCCATCTACAATATTGAGAGAAAATGCTTCTTTGGATGAAATAAAAGTGGGATCAATATTTGACAATAAGAAGAGTATAATTAACTGCTTTTCCAATATAGCAATTAAGGGACATTTTGAATTCAAAGTTGTTAGATCAAGTTCAACAAGGTATTCTTTGAAATAAAATGATGAAAAGTGTGGGTGGCGTGTGTGCGTTTTTAGGATTAAAGATTCAACACTATTCAAGATAGTAAAGATTGAGAAAAATCATGACTGTTCAGTTAACACTATGAAAGTTGATCAAAGGCATGCAACTTCAAAGTTGATAAGTGGTCACATTATTGACAATCTTCGAGACCCAAGGTTTGAAGTTACACCAGCCTTTGTCATGGCCAAAATGCAAAATTTTCATGGACTAGACATTGGGTATCACGCATGGACTTAAACAAAAGAACATATGATTGTTTTTTGTTTCAATTTGATGAATTACCATGTATACATGCGATTGCAATTATTGATAAGAGAAGCATCAAGAAGTCCAATTTTTGCTCGGAGTGGTACTTAAAGAAATCTTGGCTGAAAACATATGAAAGACAATATATTCTATAGGACACACAAATTCTTGGATTGTACCAGAAAGTTTTAAGACAAATTATTAAATCTCTAGATTTCAAGGTTCTGCCAGGTAGAAGGCAGAAGAAAAGGCATATTCCAGCTAGGGGTGTCAATGGATATTTAAATACTGACTAAACCGACTGAATTGTACCGCACCAAACCAATTTTTAGGTTTCTTTTAAAAAATTCATAGGTTTTTATATGAATCTATAACTGTACCGATAATTATGGTAGGTTTTTTATTTTATAAAAATAAATTAAAAAAATACCGAACCGTACCGAATAAATTTACATATAGAAAATATATTTATATACTTCTAAGTTTAAAAATAATAAAGCATTAGATTTTTTTGGCGGCCTTGGAATTATGAAAACGGTTACAAGCCAACAAGTAATTAAACTCAAAATACTAATTCCTAAAACCTATTATGCTACTTCTACTTAAACTGAGTTATTTCCAGCATCTTCATTAGCAAGACACAAAGTATTCTAGCGATTATGAGTAGCAAACTACAATGCATTGAATATGTTTTCTTTCATATAATTTAGAATTATCTTTTTGAATATTTAATCTTCTATAGATTTTTTCTTGAGTCCCAGCTTGGTTAACATATTTCTACTCATGTGATTTATATATTTTTTGTCTTTACTTGGTTTCTTTTACGTTGCTGTAGAATAGTTGATGGATCTATACTCTGGTCATCTTTCATATTTTTTTAATTCGTCACCTTTTAAACAATAAAAATGTCTAGAGAGTTTTGCTAAGTCCTATTAAAGAACGTATAGTATTGCATTCTACTTCTACTGGTGACTTTTACATGATATTTAAAACAATACCGAAAATATACCGAAACTGTACCGATACCGAAGAGAAACTGACATGATTGAGATAGTTTCGAAAAGTCTAATTTTGGTTATACATAACAGAATAACCAAAAAATTAGTATGACACAAAATTTATAAAATAAACGGCCGAACAGATAAATCATCAAAAATAACGTTCAAATGTGGTTGTTGCAGGAGAATTGGTCATAATAGAATATCTTGCATATATTCTCCTGCAGTCCACCCATTTCCAAGGAAGCATAGAGAATTATAGATATATCCACTAATCTTTTACTAGACTTTTAAGTTTTTGCTATAAATTGGATTCATTTAGATTATTTTTATTTCAGCAAGCAAGCTTTAGCAAATGGTTATGTCACGACCCAAAATCCAACCCATCGTAATGACACCTGATCCAACACGCTAGGTAAGCCAAATAACAATAAATCACAATATGGTGATATTGATAAAGAGTCAAAAATGAAATAGCTGAATTTTTAGCCAACTTCCCAAGGACTGGTAGTACGAGTCATGAGCCACTAAGACTTAGATTATTACAAAACTGAATTGAAGTAATTAGAGCATCTGTTTGAAATGCAAATGAACATAATCGGAATCTAAAGCTACCAAGGACAAGTGATAGCCATCACTGAAACGCAAGTACATCTTCAATGACAGCTCCCGCCGTACACAACAACATCAATTCCAAGATTTGCACGCAGGGTGCAGAAGCGTAGTATGAGTACAATCGACCTCATGTACTCAATAAGTATCCTAACTAACCCATGCAAGGTAAAAGAAGCAAGAAGTATAGATGATACTCACTAACCCCTGTGTTGTTCATAATTTCAACAAGTACAGAATAGATATATGATCAAATCAAGATATTGCAGGTAAAACCACTTTGATACTCACAATTCTTTATTTTAAAGTATTCTGCTCGGTTAACAATCCAGCATAAGGAAGATATGCAAGTAAATCAGGTAAATAGTCAAGGAAATTGCAAGTAAAGATAAAAGGCCATAACAAAACATCAGTCCGTCGCAGCGCACAACCCGATCCAAATATAGTAACCAGCTCTCCCAGAGCTCACATCAATCAGAAACTGAATCCATGTGTACACCATCAAGAGAGAAACATGAGAGGGTGACCCTAAGGGGATGAATCCGTAT